GTGTGTGTGTGTGTGTGTGTGTGTGTGTGTGTGTGTGTGTGTGTGTGTGTTGCACTACTGCTGAATGAGACACCTTCTCTGGTGGAAACTACCAAAATGGCAGCCATGAGTGCCCTGGCAGGTGTTTATGTTCTAATATGAGTGTGATCAGACTCGTAACTGAGTTCTCGTGGTTCCGATGATTAACAATGTGAGCAATTTGGCCAGTTTGGGTCATGATCTGAGGAAAAGTTTAATAGGTTGGATCTACCTGTATTAAGAAGCATATTTAGATATTCTTTGGTTAAAACTAAACTTCTATGGTAGAAAACACAAGCCTACAGTTTAAAGTTTGACTTGGTAAGTTTTTCATTTTATGGACTTGTAACCCTGACAACCCACACTATATTCTTTAAATATAACCAAAATATTTGTATCCTGACYCATCTCAGTAATCCAGGTAGAAAAAAATCAAAAAGAAAAAATAAGTAGGTCCTCTGGACTTATAAGCACTTCCTCCACATGGACAAACAGGTTAGTCACATGCAAAAGAGGGCCATCACCGAACAATAGGCTTGATTAGCTATATTGTTCAGAGAGGGAAAAAAAACAAAAACAAGGGGACGTCGAGCCCCGCCTGCACTCATTACATTCACATGACACGACACCTAAGAACCACAGCATTCAAACCAATAAGTCAGGTGATGGGGCATATGACCCTCTATGAACAATAGAACTAATCAGGCCTATTGTTAGGTGATGGCCCTCTTTTGCATGTGACTAAATAAAGCTAATCAAGCCTATTGTTAGGCGATGGCCCTCTTTTGCATGTGACTAAATAGAGCTAATCAAGCCTATTATTAGGTGATGGCCCTCTTTTGCATGTGACTAAATAAAGCTAATCAAGCCTATTGTTAGGCGATGGCCCTCTTTTGCATCTGACTAACCTGTTTGTCCACGTGGAGGCAGGATGAGTTCACCTGAATCTCATCAGACTGAAGAAGTCTCTTGGATGAGAGACGAAAAGTTTCACTAAAGAAGAACCCATCCAGAGGGCCTACTAATTTTTTATTTTTGATCAAAATATTTGTATTTCTAAACATAATCAAGATAAAATAGTAGTATGTTCCATAGTTAGCATGTCATTTTGATTTAATTCCCATTAGTGCTAAACAGATTTCCTGTAATGAAATTGAAATGCTTCACCATAAAAGAATAACATGGTGGGTGTTTATTTAAWCTGCCTGCTCAGTAAAAATTTCCCAAAGGATTTCTATGATTTTAACAGTTTTTCTTGAAGAAAAGGCCCGCTGACAGTACGGTCCAAGACAGAAGACCAACATCTGGTCCCTGTGGAACAGCAATACAAAGAGGTTATATTATAACTCTACAGAAGTCTGTGGCTACCAACTGATAAAGATTAAAACTCCTTCTCTTCGACACAAAAATTATTAGATTATCTGAACAGAATACTCCTCCGGTGACCCATTCTGAAACAGCAGTAAGCAATGTAGAACTGTTAGGTGCATCTCTAATGTGTTTTGTGACAAGAAAGTAACCTCCAGGTTGGCTTCTAAACTGATTTACCAGAGTGAAGCKCTTTAGACTAACCAAAGCCCCCCTCTGACTAAAACATTGGATTTTCTTGATGCCCCTCTTACCAAGGAGTGGCTCAGAGTTTTCATATCAGTTCTCCTGCAGTCTCGAAACAACTGGCTCAGCTTCTGCCCCCCTTCCTGATGTCTAAATCCTCCACCCATGCCATTACAGATGACATGCACACTGCTAAGACACAGCACTGTCAAGCCCACACACCTCCGTTCTATTTTTAGTTAGCCACATCATCCCACTTCCTGAGATTTGTCTCTTTCGCTGTTGTCTTTGAAAAATCAAAACGGGTCCACCCTGCACCTACTCAGTAGCTCTCTCTGGATTAGTAGTCCCCTGTCACTTTCTCTATTTCAGTTGAAGTGTCCCCTATGGGCCTTGTTGGAAACACAGAAACATTTAAGGTCTCCCTAACAGGGCAACGGTGCTGCTCAGTCCTCTGCCCTGAAACCACGTCGTCTTTCACAGCGAGACAAGCGAGGCAAGGCTCCCTTTCTGTCTAAGTCTCCCTCAAAGAGCTGCATTCTAATGTTGACATCCCTTTTGCTCGCTTCTTTTCAGACAGCAGTGTGGGACTGGTGTGCACTCTCCCTCCACCTTCTCCCCTGAAAGCCATAGTAGCCTGTGAGGGAGGATTAACGCCTGCTGCTCCCTGACTGCACCGTCTCACTTTGCGAAAACATTTAGAAGCTTCCGTTGTGGTTTGGTGCACTGGAATGGTAAAAGTAACAGAGTTAATTATGCCATTTTGTCTCACAAATGAGATAACAAAAGAGATCTGTTGAATTTGTCGCGAGGGTAACGACATCAGTATGTTTTGTAATTGTGATGAAAATGGTTGGAAGAAAGAGACTCCCAGTATTTACTTTCCTGTGGTAAAGCTGATATCTTGAAGTTCTTTTGACCCATGAAAATCACAAGGTTTGATTAGCATGCAGGGATTTACCATCAGTTTATTTTAATTCCATGTGATATTTCTACCAAAGTTTTTTAAATGGCATTTATCTTCTGAAGCAGAACATTGTCTGCTTTTCTCCAGCTCATTGCATAARGGTTTTAAAAGCTCTTCTTAAGACTAGAATTGGCCTTGTGGTAAACTGAGATATGTACCAGCTGAATCACTGAAATTATTCAATTTATATTAATGATCATTTTGAAAAAGCTCAACAAAGTGGGTATTAAACGTTAAAGATATTATAAATATTACCTGGACTCCAACTTTTTAAAGATTCTAAATTTTAAAAACCAAGTTGGTTTGCTTTGTCCATGAATTGAGGTAAACAAGTAAAATGAGAACTAAAAAAATGTTTCCGACATTCTTAGTGAGGTTGTACCAAAACGTTCTGTGCAACAATGGGATCAGTCCTCCTTTGTCAATTATTTTGCTTTTCTTTCTCTCCTCAACAGCTTTCCATTGCTAGTTGGAATTCTCAGAAAAAAGTTTTTATTTAATCTCCTCAGAAAGAATTTATAACTCTTACTTTTGTATGAACTCTCCTTGCCTATTTGCTGGATTTATTCTTTGAGTGTTATTTTGTTCTTTTGAATTTGAGTGTGTTATTTTGCTGTGACTGGGTGACCTGTATGTTTACTGGTTGAATCCTTAAAATATGTTGTAATTTGACAATATAAAACAAACTAAAGAAGAAATAAACGTAGTGTGGCGTGAATGCACAGAATCTCCTTCGAGCTTTTGACATTTTCTTGGTTATCGGGTCTGGATCACTTCTACGTTACACATCATTTTTCGAGGGAGGAAAGTGTGTGTGTGTGTGTGTGTGTGTGTGTGTGTGTGTG